GTCCCCTATCTTTGGTTTCCAGTCTCGTCTTCTTAAGTTGTAGTGTCTCGTCTGTTTTGCTGCTGCTTCCTCCATGTTTTGTCTGGCTAATGCTTCCGCGCTTTGTCGTGCTTCTGCACTTTCTTGTGTCGTTAGTTCTGTGAGCCCTGATCCTAATGTTACCTCGTCAAACAGATTTCCTGGCAGCCGTAGCTCTCGTCCGAACAATAAATATGCTGGCGTAAATCCTGTTGATTCTGATAGACTGCTGTTGATCGCGAGTGTTAATTCTGGTAAGTGCTCGTCCCACTTATTATGTTTTCCCCCCACGTACTGTGCTATCATGGTTTTCAATGTTCGATTCGCTCTTTCGGTCGGGTTTTCTTGGGGCGTGTATGGTGCCGTGAATTGCTGCTGAATTCCCCATAACTGCATTACCTGTTTGGTTTTCCTGCTTGTGAATTGCACGCCGTTGTCTGATATCAGCTGTTTTGGTGTTCCTCCTCGTGCTAGTATTTTTTCTCGGAACGCTTTTATGAATGTATCGGCGGTTGCTTTCCTCGCTGGTGTCACCTCTATCCATTTCGAAAAGTTATCGATGAATACGATGAGTACTGTGTTCCCGTGCGATGTTCTTGGTAGGGGTCCTACGAAATCGACGGGGCCTCGGCGACTTTTGTTAGCATTTTCCCGCCGCTGCTTGTTGCGAGATTTTGAATTTTTGGCAGCTTTCACATTCTCTGATGAATTTTGTTACATCTCTGCTTATCCCTGGCCAAAAATATCGTTGTCGGATCCTTATTTTTGTGCGTCGTATCCCTAGGTGGCCTGCCGTTGGGTTCGTATGGTTTTCCGTTAATACCCTATGCCTTTCTTGTTTTGGCACGCACAGCTTCCATGGTTGGATGTCTTCATATGTTTGGCTTGGTATGTGTCGGTATAATCGTCCGTGTTTTATAGTGTAGTCTTCTGCTATTTTCGGGTTTGTTTGTATCTGTTTCCACTTTGCTTCGTAACAAGCGCATTCCACCAGCTCTGTGATTCTCACCTCTTCGCGTGGTAAGCGGGATAATCCGTCCGCCACTGCATTGAGCTTCCCCTTCCGATAGCGTATTTCGAATGTGAATGGTTGTAGTCCCAACGCCCATCTTGCTACTCGGCCGGATGGGCTTTCGATGGAATTTAACCATTTCAGGGCTAAGTGGTCCGTTATCACTACAAACTGGTATCCCTCGAGGTACATCCTCATTTTGTGAATTCCCCAGTAGATGGCGACATTCTTTCTCTGTAGCGGAATATTTAGTTTCTTCGCTTTTAAGCTTGCGGCTTGCGTATGAGATTACGTGTTCTCCGTCTGCATCCTCCTGTGTTAAAACCGCTCCTAGTCCGCAATCGCTTGCGTCTGTTTGTAGGATAAAGGTTTTTCTGAAATCTGGGCAGGCCAGAATGGGTGCCTCTGTTAAACAGTGTTTCAGGTCGTTGAAAGCGCTGTCTTGGGCTTCTCCCCACGTAAATTTCTGTCCTTTCTTCAGTAGTTCTTGTAGTGGCTTCGCTCTCTCGGTGAAGGTAGGTACGAACCTTCGATACCACGATGCTAGCCCCAGAAAACTGTGTAGTTGTTTTAGTGTTGTTGGTGCAACCAGTTCTCTGATGGCTGACACTTTGTCCGGATCTGTGTGTATTCCTTCCTCGCTCACCATGTGTCCCATGTATTTCAACTTCTGTTGGAAGAAGTGACATTTCGCTGCGTTGATGCGCAAGTTTGCTCTCCTTAATCGGTTCAGCACTTCCTGAAGCTTCTGCATGTGTTCTGTTTTCGTTCGCCCAATGACGATTATATCGTCTAGGTATGCGAAAGCGAACGGCTCCATGTCTGGTCCTATAACCGAATCTAATGCCCTTTGAAACGTTGCGGGCGCTGTGGTGAGTCCGAACGGCATTACCTTCCATTGGTACAAGCCTCGCCCAGGGGCTGTGAAGGCTGTGTACTGTCGGCTTTGCCTCTCCATCGGAATCTGCCAGTAGCCTGACTTTAGGTCCAGTGTGCTGATGAATTTCGCCTCTCTTAGTTGGTTTAATATGAAGTCCACCCGTGGTACCGGGTATGCGTCCTTCTCGGTTTTTTCGTTTAGTAGTCTGTAGTCGACGCATAGTCTCCAATCCCCTGCTTTTTTCTTGACTAAGACTATTGGTGAGCTGTATGGACTTCGTGACGGTTCTATTAGGTCCTGACGTTTCAGCTCGTTTATTTCCCTGTTGATGATCTCCATTTGTGCTGGGTTCCTTGGGTAGTACCGCTGTTTGACTGGTCTATCGTCCTTGAGGAATATTCGATGAGTTGTTATGTTACTTACTCCGCCGAGGTTGTCGAATTTCTGGACCTCTGTTGATATCCATTTTTCGATTTCCTTGTCCGTTGGTTCCGGTTGTGAGTTTCTTGCCCTCTCTTCGTGTCTTTGTTTTTTCTCCCTTCCACTGATCACTACGGTACTGTTTCCGCATGTAATGTTGGTTCCTGCGTCCCTTAAGAAGTCCATTCCGAGTGGTGGCGTGTCTGGTAGCCCCTCCATTATTAAAAATGATAATGTCGTTTCCTGGCCTCCTAGCTCTACTTCGGTAAGGAATGTACGCGTGGTTTTTTGTGTACTTCCATCTGCGAGTCTGATCAGTCTATTTTCTTTTTCTTCCTTCCCGTTGTTCTGTAGTATTTTCGCCGTTTTTTCGTTCAAGATGCTTCTTGTGGCTCCCGTATCTATTACTACCTCCATCCTCTTTCCGCCGATCTTGGCCATTCCCACGAGCTGGTTGTAATCGTATCTTAAATCTGTGGTGGTCCACTCTGCGTGTTTTGGGCTCCGGGTGCTTCGCGGGATTGTCCCGGGCCTTGTGCGTTTTCCTGTGGTTTCCTGCAGCAGTCTATCGTTCGTACTCCTTCTTTATTGCATGTCCAGCAGTATAATACTGGCTCCCTGGTGCATCCCCTCGATTCGTGTCCTATTTGTCCACATCGGTGACATTTTGTTTGTCTCCATTGTGGCCTCTCTAGTTTCTCAAATTCTTCCGCTGTTATAATGAATTCTGATAGCGTCTGGAATTCCCTTCTCTTCACATAGAGTTTGATTGGTAACCTACAATTCTTGTATGCCATGTCCAGTTTCTCGTTCTCGGTGTACGTCCCGAATCTCATCAATTTTCTCAGGTCTTGAATAAACTCTCGTATTGTCTCCGTTTCTGATTGTTTCCGCTCCGATACTATCTTTATAAGCTCTTCATGATATTGTGGTGACATGAAGTTCTCCTTCAGCTGGCTTTTCACCTCCTCCCATGTTGTTATGGGGCCGGGTTTCGTGTGCCACCAGTCCAATGCACTCTTCTCCACTATTACCGGCATTGCAAATACAATGTGGTCTATCTCGATCCCGTATGTTTCTGCTAATTCCTCCATCCTACTGAGGAATTCGAGTAGTTCTCCATTCCCAGTGAATGTGAGGTCCCACTTCTTTATTTTATCTATTATGGCCACTGCTTCTGGTGATCCTTTCCGTATCTGCTTTGGAAATAAAGCTCTCTTTTTTGCCGTTTTCGGTTCCCCTTGCGGTTCTTCCATAGCTGGCTTGGCTTGTGTTATTACTTTCGGTGATTGTTTTGGGCTCCTGCCTCTTGTCTGGGTTGTTCCGAGCTGTTCCAGCCTCTCCAGTATTTCCTTACTTAGATCCTTTCTTTCCGTGAACTGAATTAGTTGTTTCCTTAATGTTTCCACTCCTGATCAGTTCTGCTTTTGTCGCTTGGTTGATCCACACTTTTGCCATCTTGACCATAAATGAGATTTCAATTCTAAGCTACCACAACCTGTTCGGGCGCCACTGTGACGGCGCTTCGACCGGGGTATGCTCGCCGCGCCGGGGTTCATAGGGCTCTAGGTTCAAGAAGAAGGCGACACGGGTAGGGTAGCAAAAGTAGGTTTTTTTATGTTTATTTAGCTTAGGCATACAGAGTTGATATATGGCTCCAATGGTTCACTGGATCGTCCTCGATGTCCTCCTTCAGGGTCGTCAGGGCCGCACGTGGCTACTCGCAGCGTGCAGGTCGTACCTGGTAGAGATCGGTTGCTGCGGAGGATAATGCGCTCCGAGAGAAGTGGTCGTTGCGGAGGATAATGCGCTCCGTAAGAAGTGGTCGTTGCGGAGGATAATGCGCTCCGAGAGAAGTGGTCGTTGCGGAGGATAATGCGCTCCGAGAGAAGTGGTCGTTGCGGAGGATAATGCGCTCCGGGGAGAAGTAATCGGTGCGGAGGATAATGCGCTCCGAGAGAAGTGGTCGTTGCGGAGGATAATGCGCTCCGAGGGGAAGTAATCGGTGTGGAGGATCATGCGCTCCGAGAGAAGTGGTCGTTGCGGAGGATAATGCGCTCCGAGGAGAAGTGATCGGTGCGGAGGACAAGGCGCTCCGAGGAGAAGTGATCGGTGCGGAGAATAATGCGCTCCGAGGAGAAGGTTGGGGAGACAGAGGAAAATGCGCTCTGAGTAGGGAGGGGAAAGTCAGAGGACAATGCACTCCGAGAATGAATTTGGAGAAAAGCAGCAAAGATTACCGGGAAGAGGAATCGTACGCTCTAACACGGTGATCAATGCATTCCAAAGAAATGGACGGTATAAAGCAGGGAACCACACCATTCAATGCTTACCAAAGCCTCGGGGAGCGAATCCACCCTTGGCAGTCCAAGACAGGAATGGTGCTGATGGCTCTGTTGCGGCTGCTTTTATTGCCAAAAGTCAGCTGTTGGCTCCGGTCTCTGGTACTAACGCGTTGTTATGATCAGCTGCTAGTGTGGCCGTTTGGTTCACTGTTGGCGCGTAGATTTGAATTTTGTAGTGTGGCCGTGTGGTTCTGATCGCTGGTCACATTGTCGGCGCGAAGATTTAAATTTTGTAGTGTGGCCGTGTGGTTCTGATCGCTGGTCACATTTAAAAGTCAGGTTGTTTGTTGTTTTTGCTTGTTTTCTTTTTTAATTAAATTAATCTTCATGTTGTTTCTCTTATGTCTAAGTAACTGTTTACAGGGAAGGAAATAATGAAATAATAATACTCCGCGGAATGTTGTTGTTTTTGTGACGCTTGGCGCTGGGTCGAGCTGTGCGTCACAAAGATGTCCGGGCGCAGAGAAAGGCTGAGAATGAGCGCTCTATTTGGTATAGAGTCTGGCCCTGGTGCCTTGTTTGGGCTAATGCTCCTGGCTGCCGTTTTCACCTCCTCGAGCGTCACCTCTTCAAAGGGAGCCTGGTTTTGCGTTTCCCGTAAACTCTGGGTCGCCTCGATGTGGTCCACCATGTGCGGGAAGAGCTCCTGCACAATGGATCCGACCAGGTCGTGCTCTGATTGGGGGTGCCTGCTTATTATTTCCGCTCATTTTATTGGCCACCAACCTATACGCCCTTCCCCGCGGGTCGTGCTCGGCAGAGTCGCAGAGGGCCAGGAAGCATTCGCGTTTGCTCTCCTCAATGGCGGACTTGAACGAGCGCCTGCAGTCCCTAAAGGCTGCCTGCCATTGCCCAAATAGCGGGTTACCGCGAGAGCGCTGGCAGCGGCGTCGTGCGTGGTTGCATTCTCGGCTTAGCTGGGCTATACTATCGCTCCACCAGAAAACAGGTGGGTGGTAGCGGCCGTAGTGCCTCCTCTGGGCCATAGTGGCTTCGCAGGCTGACTCCAGGTTCACCATGACGTGGTTGGCCATGCATTCCGCATTGAACAGCGCCGTGTTCATGCTGTTGGCGTGGAAGCATTTCCATCTGGGCGGAGCTAGTTGTCTCGTCCCTCTCTGCTGCCCAATATGGCAGACTATTGCCAGGTGGTCGCTCGCCCTGTAGGCACTGCTAATGCTCCAGCTCGACGAGTTAAAGAGCGAGCAGCTGACCAGTGTGAGATGCACAACCGAACCGACTCCTCCTCTTGAGAAGGTGTGCTGCCCTCCCTGGTTTAGGAGAGCGATGTCCAGGGGTGCGATGGCCTCCAGCAACACCCGGCCTCTTGCATTGGTCGCGACGCTTCCCCACTCCTCTGCCCATGCGTTGAAGTCGCATCCAATAGCCACTGGGTGTCGACCTCTGACATCGGCCGCTAGGTTGTCGAGGATACCTGCGAACTCGTGAAGGGATAAGCTTGGGGCGAGGTAGACACTATAAGTCCACATACTCCCAGCTTTCGCACGGACGAATCAAACTGCACGGCTAATGTCGGTAAACTGCATCGATGTGTCGCCACATATCCACAGCCCTGCTTTCTTGTTGGCGCCTAGGATGAAGCCAGGCGACTCCCTCGTTCTATATGGCTCGCTAATGACTGCGAGGCCTATTGCCAATTCCCGCACGGTCTGGCTCAGCAGGTCTTGGGCCGCAGCGCAGTGGTTAAGATTAAGCTGCAGTAGCTTCATCATTGCGTCGGTATACTGGATCCACCTTTGGCTGCTGGACATTTTGAGCTGCCCGCGTAGTGGTGCGTCTCCTTCCGCCTGCTAGCTATGCAGATGAAGCAGCTTGGGTCACTCTGGCAGGTAGCCGCTTTGTGCCCTGGTACGCCAATCTTGCGGCATACGGTGCGGTCCACCGTGCTCCTGCACCTGGCTGCTAGATGTCCGAATTCCAGATACCTGTAGCATCGTCTCTCCGATATCCGCTCTTGGAGCCGACAAATTGTCCACCCTACTTTAAGGTTCCCCATCTCCAGGAGGGCTTTTGCATGAGCGGGGGGCAAGCACACAAATGCTGTTTGTGTGCCGGCATACGAGAGGCCTCAAACTTTTGACAGCGTCGATGTCCACGCAGGGTGCGCCGACGATTGATGCCACCGCTGCTGCTATGTCCTCCTTCGTGACAAGGCTGTCAAGATCTTTTATCTCCACACAGAGCTCATCAGTGACCGCCCTGATACCCGAATGCATGCCCAATGCCTCGCTAATCACCTCCTTGAGACTTGCAGTGTTGCTCTTGCTCGCGCCATTTAGCTCGAGCAGCAGTTCGCCCTTAGCCGTCCTTCGGATTCTGTTGACATTAGCGCCCACTTCTTGGAGCTTACTGTCCTCGCGCCTAGTGACCAACCGAAGAATATCGCTGTAGCTCAGATCTCCTTGGGGCTGGATAATGATTGCGTCTGGCCTCGGCTCGCGCTGGCGAGGCTCCGCTTTCTTTCGCGCCTTGGGGCCCACCTGTTGCCATTTGAGCTGCTTTCCAGCGGCTGGAATGGCACCGTGGTCCACTGTTCCAGAGGGAGTTTTCTCGCCCTGATCCAGCGACGGCAGCTCAGCTTGGGATGACGCTTGCCTCAGCTTTGTGCTCCTCTGTCTCTTGGTGTGCTCCGCAGTCAATTGCGGTGACTCGCGCAGCCTCTTTGTGCCGGTGAGGGACGGCTTCGCAGCTGTTTGGGTGCCAACGTTGGTGGTCCCGATTGCCCTGTTATGCAGCTTGTCGAAGCTGTTGAGCACAAGCGCCTGCAAGGCTACAACGCTCAGCGCTAGGTCCTTCATTGGGATGTCCACGTGCCGCTGGTCGTTCATTCTTTGGACCAGTTCGTTGGCCCGAGTGCCCAAGGTTTTCAGCAGCTCTAGTGGGTCGGAGTGCGGTCCATGCCGTCTGGTCCGAACTGGAACACGCTCGAGCCATGGGCTTTCGCAGGTGCCGACGGCGGTGGTGATCTGCAAAGAGCGTGGCGCTTACCAAAGACAGCCTCCTCAGTCATCTTCTCCATCGGATTTCTGTCGTCCGCCATCGCTTCTACGGCTTCTCGGTCTGCCCTAGATGGCTCCCGCGCTGGCCACAGATTTCCCCTTGGCCTAACGATGGGGGATATACCGCCCCTCCCCGGTCCCCGACGTCCCGTTGACCGGGACACCGCCTGAGCGGGGGATCGGAGGTTGGTCGGGTCCGTGACCTTTTCCCACGTGCCACCTGTGCTGCCTGGTTAAGCCTCGAAGTATGCACTTCCTTAATTGCCTTGCGCTCAGCCTGGGGGTATGCAAGGCTTTAGCGAGATCTGCAAAAAATCGTGCACCCTGGCCGCTGCTGCTTGCTACGGTGGAGTCGTAGCCGATGTGTGCCAGCTGATAGTTTTATGCACTACCCAGCACTATCAATCGCAGTCAGCTGTTTGGCGCTTTTTTCGCTTTTTTGTTGTGCCCGGCTAGGAGAGCGTAGGAGAGAGCGTGGAACAGTGTTTAGTGTCCCCCCGCCCCTCCTCCAGGGGATGAAGCACCACTTTCCGCCTGGTAGCAGCGCTCGGAGATTTCCCCGGGCCTGTAGTCCTGACTGGAGCTCGCAATATAGAATGTTAAAAACCATAATTGATAATTGGGGAGAAATAAATAATATTTTGAAAAATAATGAGCAAAGCCAACGATTGCTACATATAAATATAACCACTGTCAAAGCCCTTTTATTGAAATTTTGAAATTATTTTTTAGAAATTGCATTTTTGTAGTTCGCCATCGCTGTGCTTTGTATTGCCATCTATTTTAAAACTTAAAAGCCTTTGTATGCCAAACACTGAAGATATCCCTGCAATATCAATTTTAAAGGAAACTATTATTCAAAAAATTGAGGCTTAGCTAACGTAAGTTTGTGGCATAAAGCTGCATTTTTTGTATATCCACCAGCTTTAAATATGCAAATGAAATGGAGGAAATTCAAAACTTTTGCATTTCTCATATTCTAGATAATGTTAATTAAGCAAATACTAAAGAAAGGGAATCTTCAAGTTCACCTTCATTTGCCGCGGCATCGCAGGTTTCTTTTGATTCGAGTGGTCAAAGTCAAAGTAATTTTGATTTAAGCGGCCAATTATCATGTGACAAAGAAAATGATGCTTTCTTTTTTGAAAATTTAATAAATCGACCTGTTTCAAAAATCATAGAAATGAAGAGGAAATAGAGAGATATTGCAAGGAAAAAGTGGATATGAACGCAAATTATAATTTGATGGAGTGGTGGCAAAAAAATCAAAAGAAATACCCCTATTTGTCAAAACTAGCTTTTGAAATTCAATCAATACCAGCTAGCAGGGTAGCGGCTGAGCGCTCGTTTTCTTTGGCGGGAAACATTATAACAGAAAAACGTAATAGGCTAGGTCCAGGCTCGGTTGACAGCTTACTTTTCTTAAATTCCTTTCTTAAAAATTTTAATACCTAAATGTACATATATAATTTACATTTTTATATATATCTATCATATTTGATCTCATAAAAAGAAGGAATATTTATATGTTAATTTCTATTATTTTCTATAATTTTGTCTCTTTTAGTTTTGATTTGTATATTTTTATAATATAAATGAAATAAAATATTTATTTTCTAACTTCATTCCCATTTTAAATCTATTTTGTTTTTCAATCAACTCGAGTTTTTTGGCTTCACTCCCAGTAAATTCATGTGCAAGAAACACGAAGTCAAAAATGTTCTTGCTCTTTTCGGGACTTCGTCCACTTCGGTAACACTCGTACATGCGTCCCAAACCCGAAGGTTTGGGTTCAGGCCTTTGAACGAAAACACATCGAACAGGTGAACGGAAAATACCCGAAAATTCATTGTGTGTTCGAACCTGCTTGAACCCGAAAACTTGGCTTCGTCTGAGTAAACCCGAAGGAACATATTTCTGCTGAGCGTTTGAGTTTAGTTGAAAACAATTTTTTGAAGGGGTATCGAACAGGCTCGACCATACTCATTGCCGTTCTCTGCCGTACACGCACGCACACACCAATGAGTCTATGTCGTTTTTTTTCGACACTGCTTTTCACTAAGCACAAACAATGTTTTTTTATACCCGTACTCAAGAAAGAGTTAAGGGGTATATTAGATTTGTGGTATAAGTGGATGTGTGTAACGCAGAGAAGGAAACGTTTCCGACCCCATAAAGTATATATATTTGATCAGCATCAATAGCCGAGAATATAGAGCCATGTCTGGTTGTCCGTCTGTCCGTCCGTCCGTCTTGTTTGTCGCCTGAATTTTAGAGACTATAAGAGCTGCCACCAAATTGCCAAATGGAACATGCTCAATACTTGCCCTTAAAGAAGAATATGGGCCACATTGTATATGAGTAGATGTAGATATCATATGAATCAGATCAAAGATGTTATGGAATATCTTTTAGTGTCAAGCGTACATCTTGAGAATGTACCCGTTCGTCAACAGTACCAGGCAACTAGTTTGGTGTAGAATCCATTGTGCCGAACTAGATACCATTCACGTTTTCCGAGATCTCCCCAGTTCCGCTTCGTTTCCCCGACAATGTATTTCAACGGAGAATTTAACACATGCATGGCCTAGGGCGTAACCACCCCTGGTTCCCGATCGATTACTCTTCGATTACCAGTAGCTAGTTGCTCAGCAGCTTGCTGGCTTTATAATAAATAAATTAAATACAAAATTGTGTTATATGAATGTTTAATTCAAAATTAATTCAAAATTCAAACTTAAAATATATATTAAAATCTAGCCTAGCCTAAACAGTTTCTAATTCATTTTTGGGTTTGGTACACCTTTGCTTGAATACTCGTTTTTTAACCCTCTGCATCGCTTTGCGCATCAGCATTTCTGGTGCTTCGTCTCCAGGCGGAATAAATTCTGTAATAATTATATGTTTAATTTAATTAAAATATAATAAACACTAGTAGTGTACTTTACCTAGCAAATCTCCATAAAACTCCGAGTGGCTCCTGAGGGCTTTCTTCCCTTGTACTCCATACACATTATACGCCATTACGATTTCGTCACTTAAAATAAGTTTTAAGTTGACGAGCACTCCAACTGGCTGTCAAAGTGATTTTAAAAAGGATTAGAAAATGAACAGGTCATATCTTTTAGAGTTTTAATTTACTTTCATAAATGTTTCTATTGATTTTAACATTCTCCACCATTTTCATCAGTCCGTTGCAATGGGGAACTGGTCCCGAACAGAATTCATCTCCCCCTTCTCCTTTATAAGCTGTTTTATCAAAACAGTTTGGTCAGCTAAAATTTTTGCTAATGCTTTCAATTGATCTGAAAGGAATTTTGCTATTAATTTTCCTGATACAAATATTAATCTTTATTAGTCTTACCACGAACAACGGCATTCTCCTGCAGTAGATTTTCTGAAAGTACATATTTATTTCGATTTATCAATTTAAATAATATCACATGTATCGTCTGTTCAATTATTTATTTAGTAGGAATATGTTTTATTTGGTAATGTGTACAGAGAATGTATGGAGACGCGCTCACGAGGAATTTAGGAACAAGACACACTAAATTCTCGAGTCGATAGATCCTCGGAGCAGTAGTGTACATGCGCAGTGTTGCTCTGAGATCGATAACTTATATATCGTGAGCGGTCAATTTGAACACTCCTCCTCAACACAACGCATGCTTACAAAATTTAAAACATACCTAATGCTAATTGAACTAACA